CTGGCAGGAGGTGTGGTGTAATTCGGGTCATAATTCTTAGACTTTGGAAGCGATCATGTGCATCTGTTCTTTCTTGCCTCTTTTGCCGCCTGGTACCAGGGTAAAGGGGGAAGATGGATACTCTGATGATTACTGGATGGGAAAGCATCTCTTTCTTGTGCTGTGTTTAAGAAACAGGCTAACTGAAAGAGAAGTTTTGGGTGAAACCAAAGCAGAGATCTCACGGTGAAGATCCAGCGCAGGGCAGGCAGGAGAAACCCCAGTGCTTTCTCAAAAGAAAGCCCCTGGCAAGCAAGCTTTCAAAATAGTTTCTGTTGTATCAAACACCCCTGGAAGTTTCTGACAGGAGCGGGATGTGAGCTTTAGCACATTTCTTTGTTCCTGCAAGTCTTTCTGCTCTTTCATGTTCAGTTATTTGCTTTGATTTATTTGATTACTTGGTTTTGTTTATTCAATTACATGCTTTTGTCTCTTTTTTTTTCAGTGTCAGTTTGTTCATGCTGTATTTTCATTTATTTATTTAACAGCAGAGCTTGCTGCTGCCTTTGTGGGTGCATGTTGCCCTTCATCTCAAGCACCTCTTTCAAATATGTCTTTCCAAGGCCAGACCACATCTTTCAGGGTCTGTATATTTTGATGGAAGTTTTTAATCTATTCCTTGCAAGTTTCATTTTTAATGGATGAAAAATGTAGCCACGTGTTCTTTCCCAGCTGCTGTGTACAACTTAAGTGTTTCTATCCCGGCTGCATTGTAGCACTGAAGCAGCAATTTCGTTGTGCTCCTCTTCAGTGTTTAAGGGCGAGGTGGTGGCATAAAAGTGGAAAGAATATTTTCTGCAAGCACCCAGGAGAAACAAAGCTCTCTCCTTTGTATAAACTTTTCACCAATTCATATTTTTCAATGGAAAAAAAGTCTAATTTTGTTGGACTTCTTAAAAAAATTCCTGAGGTGGATTTTGCTTGCTTGCTTTTTACTTTTGCCCTTTTCTATGGCAGATTGGTAGCAGAGAGGAATGCAAAAGCAAGAAACAAACTCAGAGATTTTTCCAGTACTGTGAGGCTGAGGAAAGCAAGGATGGTGCTGAATGCACCACCAAAATGGTGAAATGGCACAAACAAAATGTAAGCATCAATGTTGACTGTTGAATACTTTGTGGAAATCTAATCACAAATCTGACAACCAGAAAGATACAGTGTGTGTGGTTTTGTTGTGCAGCCCGTTTGTCCCCTCACTGGTGCAGCAGCAAAGGTTGGTCTTCCGAGCTCCACAGCA